CCACGACCTGGCCCTGGGTTCTGGGGAGATTATTCCATCCTCTGCTCCTCTGCTTTTAATTTCCATCCCTTGGCTGCAGGGAGCGTTAAGGGCATTAATTGGCTCGATTTATGGCCAAAACAATGTTGTTATTAAACATTTACTGCAACCCTGAGGTCTCCCTGTGGTAGGAAGTGGTCCAACCCCCCCTGACAATCCAACTCTCCCTTTCTCCCCCCACTCTCTTCTTCCTGCACACAGAGAAAGCAGAAGGGGGTAAAGAAATAACAGCAATAATGGGATTGTTCTGGGGCTCCACGGGGATGCCACGTTCCATCCCCTAAATTCTTTGGGTGTCCCATCCTGACCTGCAGTAAAGATGTTTCTAGACCCTTCTTTCTGCTGTGACTCCATCCTTGGGGTGCCCTGCACGGGGATGCCACGTTCCATCCCCCTCAGCTGGCAGAGCCCAGCAGCAGAAACACACTTCCCAAAGCCTGGGGGGGACAAAGTTAGGGAGCAAAACTGTGCCAAGCCCTGGCCTGAGCCCCCCACTGAAGGCAGCAGTGCAGGATGCAGGGGTGGGAAGTGGTTTGGCCACGCTGCTGTTCCAGGGTGATCCCGCTGCTCCCTGGGGCTCTTTCCCCATCAGGACCCCGTTGCACACCACAACCTGCACTGCCCTGGCTGGGCAGGGGCTGGCAGAGCTTCCCTTCACCCCCACACACCCCCCTGACTCAGGGAATCACGTGGGAAGGGGCTCTGAGCTCACGGGGGCATCACCCCCCCCCTCACACACACGTATTTCCTCACCAGGAGTTTATTTTCCATTCTAATTAGAAGCACTTCCTGCCTCTCTCATTAACTCACAGCCACTGCTGATGGGGAGATTACAGGGGAGCCAGTGAGGTCACGCTCCCCACCCAGCCAAGGCGCAGGAAAACCTGGAATTCTTCCCTGGAATTCTTCCCTTTCCACCGTGAGAGGCTGTGGGCAGTCAGAGAGCCCTGGGAGGGGCAAAGGGGTTGGACTTCTGGGATGGGTCCCCCAGCACTAAAGGGAGCACTGAAAACATCAGGCAAGCTGCAAACCCTCTTGCCAAGCTGAGAAAGGACAGCCCTGGGCAGAGAGGGTGAGAGGAGGGCAGGGTCAAGGGACAGCTGGAAAAGGGAGAAGAAATTTCAGGCACTATTTCAAAGGTATCTGTATTGTCTCCTTTGAAAACCTTTTATTTCTCAGAAAGGAAGAAATATATATATATATAGAGAGAGAGAGAGAGAGAGAGACCTGTCCAGTTCAGAGATTAAAAAAAAAAAAAAAAAAGAGCTTTGTCAGGATATAATTCTAGATGAGAATAATAACACATTGTTCCACCTTTGTCACAGGGAAAGGGGGAAGATAACTGCCCCAAGAGGGGTTTAATCCAAGTGGTTAAGGCAGCAAGGAGAGGGGAAAAGCAGAGCAGCAGCTCCCACAGCACAGGGGGAGAGAGCAGGGCCCAACCACACTCCTGGGAGATGAGGAGCATCCCTCCTGGGAGAGGAGCATCCCTCCTGGGAGAGGAGCATCCCTCCTGGGAGATGTGCATCCCTCCTGGGAGAGGAGCATCACTCCTGGGAGAGGAGCATCACTCCTTGATGTGCCATCAAGATGAGATTCAGCCTCCTCCCAGGTGGAAAAGCTCTGCCCAGCCTGTCCTTTGCACAGAGTTTCTCCCAACACAGCGTCGGGTCAAGGGATTTATAAACTCTCTGGAGTCTCCTAAACAAAACGAGGGTTGTTTGAACTAAACAGAAGCTGCCACAAGAGAGAGAGGCCCGTGTTACAAAACAGGTCTGTGTGCAAGTGCCTGGGGAAATTAGCTCTGCTGAGCTAATTCCCTGCAAGGCACCAGCTGGAAGGTGCTCATGGAAAGCTCAAGCCTTGAACCCACTGCTTTTCTCTCAGGGACTCACTGGGGGATGTCACTCTTTAGCTTTTCACTTCCAGAGAGTTCCTCCCGGTGGTTCTGCTCCACTGCATCCCTTGATGCCCCTCAGGGCTTCCAGTCACAAAGACCACTGACAGAACTTCCCTCCTGCCATTGCCTTGGTCCCAAAGAAAACAGGAGCATGTTGGAGGTGATCTTAAAGGGATTTAAGCTGTGGTGAGGCTGGGCAGCAGCTCACCCTCCTCTGAGGGTGATCCTGGGGATCCCTCACAGACACAGAAAACAAGTCTCTCCCAAAGGCAGCTGCATTTAGATCCTTTGGAATCGCAGTGAGAGGGTTCATCCCTGCTGGGACTGAACGTACTCTTCCCTCCTCTGGCAACAACATGGAAACCCGTGCCAGGAGCCCAGCCCTGGCAGGACAGGGGCATGTGCAGCCCACAGAGATGAACAAACCAGAGTGTGGCTCCTGGCACGGCCTCTGCAGCGACGGGGAGAGTTCAGGGAGCCTTTGGCTTCCCAGAGAGGTGGCCTGGAGAGCTCCATGCAGCCCCTTGCTCCTCTTACCTGACAGAGAGAGTGAAGTCCCCGGGGTTGCTCTTGCTGGGGCGAGCCAGGAAGCTGCCATGGACACCCCTGGTGAGGAGGAGCTTCTCGGCCTCAATCCCACTGATGTTGGGATGAAACCACCTGCAAAGGGCAGAAGGGACACGTGAGAGGGTGATTCACCGTTTTTCCACCTGCAGGCACAGTCTGGTCCTGTCCATCTCCTCGCCCTCCTGCCACGGAACAGAAAAGGGAAATACAGACAGTTCACCCCGAGGGGGAAAATGTTTCATCATTTTCTGTGCTACTTTAATGTAATCTTTGTATTTTAAGCGTCATCAAACCACCTCCTGATCTAATTTCTGCGCTATCAGTCTCCATCAAGTTCCCTTGATCACAAGAACTGGTGTTTCCCCAGGCTTTAATGAGTGCTAAATATGCACATTACACCAATGATTCCCCACGTGGCACCGGTTTTACGGCTCCTTTTTTTTTTTTTTCCCCTCCAGAAGCTGCTGAAAATCCACTTTTCTAAATGCCAGGCTCTTTTGAGTAATCTCACAAGTCCCACACAGAGCACCCCAAAACGAGAGGCACTCGATTCTGAAAGTATTGCTCAGCTTTAGGTCACGCTCCAGCAGACACTGATGGAATATTCCACGTGAGCAAAGAGGAGATGAGCCACAATTAACTCTAAATTAACGTTATTTAGAGTATCTTTGGGGCAGCACCAGCTGCAAGAGAACTGGCTGCACAGTCAAACCCCCCTTCAGAGGAAAGGACAGTGTTTTGGGAGTCCCTGGAGGTTGGACAGGTCTGAACTAAACAACTAAAAACTGCAAGATTTAGCATTCCAAGCAAGTGGAATGTGGATTTTCAGGAGGAGAATATCTGGAAGCATTTAGGAAGCTGGTTTCTGGGATACAGCTGCCCCTGGGTTGGATTTAACCAACACAGTCCCCCCCTCCCCAAAGGGTTTGCAAGTTTATCTCAGAGAAATAAATGCCTGTGTTAGGAAATACAGCCAAACCCACCCTACAAACAGAGAGTGTGTTTGTCTCCGAGGTACACACAGAGAAAAGGTCAAGAAATGTCACCATCTCCTCCACAATTTGGGATTTCCTCCCCGCCACCACAAGCCAAACAGTTTTGACTGCAGATCCCTGGATTTCTGCAGGAGGAGAGGTGTGTTAGGGAAGGGCCCTGGAAACAGATGGTAAACAGGAATCCCAGCCTTTCCAAGCCTCTATTCCTGACATCCCACAAGTGCCACCCTTTCATAAACCCGCTGTCTGCGGGGCCAGCACTTAACTGGGCCCCAGAGCTGCTCCTGGGAGGGGAAGGAATGCTCTAATGGGGCTTAATGGAGCTCAGGGACACCCCAAGGCTGCCAGAGGCCACACACAGCATTCCCACTGAATGCTAATGGCAGTAAAAGCAGCATGGTAGGGAAAAACCTAAGGAAATATCTCTGGTAATGAGAGTGGGATGAGAGCTCTTGCAGATATGGACACAGCAGCTCTGGGAACATCCCAGTCCGTGTGACAGTGTCCAAACCCCTTCAAAGGCTGCCCAAAACCCCCCCATGGAAACCCAGGTTGTCCTGGGATGCTCAGCTGGAGTCAGACCTGTGGGATGCTGAGAACAGACACTTCTGTCAGTGCCAGGAGAGGGCAGAGGTGAATATTCCAGCAGCCAAGGCACTGGGAGGCCACAAGGAACAGCCAACAGGGACAAAAGGACCTGATGTCCAACCTCCCTCCTACCTGGGAGGGCCACAACCCTCTTCCCTTCCCACTGTTGGCCACAGCCACAAAATCGATTCACAAGTCCCTTTTCAGCCTCTTTTTCTCAGTTTTCAACATTCCAAGAAGGAAAGCAACTTAAAGAGGATCCAAATTAGATCCCCACCCTAGGAAAAAAAAGTCCATTGTTAATATCAGGCCATGTTTTGATGTCAGCAAATAATAAGCATCAGTGGGTCACTCAGGCAATGGCTTTTTGCAGGACTGGGTCACCCCTGGAGAATCCCTGGAAATAAAAGTGGGGATCCAGGTAAATCAGACACAGGTACCTCCCTCTCTTCAAAACAGGAGCAACATTCCAGCAAAGCCCTGGAAAAGGGACTCTTTCTCCACGTTAAAAATTTATCAAATAATTTCTCTTTAATTACTAAAGAGTCATCGTTTCCATGCACTATTAGTCATTTCCTCCCTCACATGAGCAGGAATGCTTTCTTCTGCTGGAATGCATCCCTGTGCTCCTGTCTGGGGATAAAACAGAATAAAGAGTTGAGCAACTCTGTTACACCCTTAAGAAACCCATAAAACAAGGCAGTTTTAAAAGCCTGTCTGGGAATCCTTCACTCTAAACAGCTCCAGGAAACATCTCATGAAGTGGATAAAGGATAAAAAGCACCGTATCCAAAAGGATACTACAGCAGTGGAGCAGAACGTGGCACTGGGGAAGCAGGGTGCCAGCATCCTGATCCAGAGGAACCCTTGGAAATGACTGTCTGAGGTGCCACAGGGGGATCCAGCTCCCAGCTGTGCTGGGATGACCCTTTAACCAACAGGTAAACAACAAAGTTCCTCAGTGAGGCCCCAAAGGAGATGGAAGGGAGTTATTCCAGACCACCACCTTTCCTTTCCCCTTCTCTCCCAAAAGCAGCACAGAAGAGGAAGGTGCCAAAGTGGGTTTGAACTCGATGATCCTTGTGGGTCCCTTCCAGCTCTGGATATTCTGTGATCCCATGGACACAGTGGCTGCTGAGCCTCACAGAGCAGCAGAGCCAGGATGTCTCCCCAAATCCTGCCCAGAGGAGAACAGTCACCACAGAACACGGGAAAGCCACGGTCACAGGGCTTGGGGACAGCACATGCCCTGGTTCTGGGGGTGACCAGAGCAGCCAGCCCCAGGTGCACGTGCCCTGGGTTTGTAGGACAGTTCAGCCCCAAGTGAGCAAGAGAATTTGGAGCATCTGGAATGGTAAAACTTCCCTGTGTTTGGCTTGGAGAGGATCGAAGCAAATATGGCTCAAGAGGCTCCGTGTGTGGTTCAGCACAGGCTCCGATCCAGCAGCTCAGGAACTGGGAGAGGATGGGATCGACCACCACCAGAGCTCCCTTCTGCTCTGCTCCAGCCCCCCAAAAGCAGCCAGGAGCTGGGGGACAATGCTCACAGCAGATGCTGTCGAGGCAGGGCAGGCAGAGCCCCAAATCCCCAACAGAGTCACCCCACCTCCCTCTGCAGTGAGGAAAGGCAGGATGGATCCAGGAGGATGGATCCAGGAGGATGGATCCAGGAGGATGGATCCAGGAGGATGGATCCAGGAGGATGGA